TTGAGAGGCGACAGCTGTTTGGCGACAGGGGCGGAGCGCGTGGTCTTCCGCGGTGTCCGCGTGCCGCAGGCGGGCTGACGGGCTGGGCGGGAGTGGCCTGCGGGCCTGGTTCCAGGGGCCGGGGCCCGCAGAGCCCATGAAGACCACGTGATGAGACCGTTTCTAAGACGCAGCAGGGATGAGCATTCGCCCAAAGGATGCAGATTTGCTGTTAATGCAATGTCAGCAAATAAACCCCCAAATCCTTTCGGCCATAACAAGAGGTCTCCCCCATCCCTGGGGCATGTTTGTCCCCAGTGCCCCAGATTGGGGACACATCTCTGCTCCCCTTGCCAAGGGTCCCTCTGCCCCTTGGCCCATCCCCACTCTTCTCTTTGAAGCCTTCAATTTTCTTGCCATTAACTTCAAAACCACAGTCAGTCACCTGATTTCTGGTCAGACTCACATGGTTTCTCCTTGATACGAGTTACTTCTTTTCATTCAGTCCTCGTTCCTTGGGGATCCCTGTCTTCTCACCTCACCTGCTGGGAAAAGGTGGGCCTTCGACGGCATCAGCTCACTTGCTGAGCCCCTGTGGAAAATCTCCACCGAATCACACACACGAGACACAGAATCAGAGCTTGGGGTCAGTCAGTGGGAAATACTTTCACAACCGGAGGCCTCGCACCCCAAGGGCCTCATAACCTCCTTGCAGAGGGCCCCATCATCTGCTGGATGTCCCCTGGAGACGCCCCCAGCAGAGCCTGTACTTTGCATCCGCTCTCTGGGACCCCCGGCACGTTCACGGGCCGCCCGGCTCTGCGTCCACAGCCACAGTGCTGGGGTCGGCAGGGGGCGGGGGTGCCTGGCCTCACCTCGGGGGACACACTCGAGACACCTGGAACCGCGGCCCCGACGTGTATCATTTTCCCACGTGCCCATGTCTGTGATGAAAGTCCAGTTCACAGATGAGGCACCATGAGACAAACAGTAACTAATAATGAAATAAAATAATTCTAACAACATACTGTAATAAAAGTTATGTGAATGTGGCCTCTCCCCCTACCCACCAGTAACTTTATATTTTTCAGCCCCAAGCTATTCCTGAACCTGTGTCACCCATTTATTTCAGGGGACCCTCTGGCAGAAGTCGCCACCCAGGCTCCCTGGCACGAGGTGCAGCTGTCGACCGGAGCAGGCTCTCTCCGCGCTGCCCGCCTGCAGCCGCGGCTCTTCTCTCCTGGCTCCGCACGGCCCCTCACAGCGGCCGGACCTCTGCAGCTTGAGATGCGACAGCAGAATTGGCAACACAGGTTTTTCCTTTCTCAAACTGCGTGGACAGAAAATTCGTTCTCACCACAGATCTTGGCGACCTCAGTGTGAGAGCCTTTGTGTCTTTGTTAAATCAAGAGCCTTCACCTTGTCTTTGAAGGATGCACTTCCCAGCCCCTCGGTCCCACCTGCACAGCCACATCACCGCCCTCGAGCCACAGGGCTGCTCAGGGGGAGCAGGAGGGGGACGGGGGCGCAAGCGCCGAGGCCACACAACGGGCCGTCCAACCACCCAGGCGCCTGCTGAGCGCCAGACGGGCTGGGAAGGCCTGCAGCAGGGACGCTGGACAAAGGGACCAGTCATGTCCCAGCGGGATGCCATGAGATTTCATCACACTGTCGAGAATGCCATGCAATTTAAAACATATGAATTGTCTATTTCTGGAATTTTCCATTTAATCCTTTTGGAGCAGCGCTGACCTAGAGTGACTGAAGCCACAGGACGTGAAACTGCAGATGAGGGACAACTGCCACACCACGAAGCTACTCACAGCAGTGAGGTTACAAGTCCCACTGGGGACACGCAGAGGAAACCACCGGGATAAGTCATTTTTAGGGCATGAAACAAAGTTGGCACCAGAGAGGAGACACCAAAGAGGAAAGAAAGGAGGAAAGAGAGACAGGATTTTATATATATCCCTCTCTGGAAATATTTTCCCATTTTAGCAAATCAAAAACAGTGGAATATCAGTAATTTCACATGGTTCAGTCTAATATCAATACCAAGATGCCTGCTAGACACCTAATAAAAAGAACGGGTCACACCAACTGAACTGCCTGCCCCCGCCGGGCCCTGCCCCCGACCCTGGGCTGGCAGAGCTGCAGCAGCTGCTCTTTGGGAGCACCTTTCTGAGGAGAAAAGCCGGAGGCATGAAGCCAGCGCTACTCGTGCCAGCCAGCAGGAATGTGCTCCGCACACTGGTGGGACAGCCGTGCGCAGCGAGCCCAGCCGCACCCGCGCACTCTGACCCGGGGGCTGTTCAGACCACCCCCGAGCAGCAAGGCCTGGGTGGGCCACAGCGACATTCCTGCTCTGTTGTCCGCAAGCACGGGTGTGCCTGGTTTGTGCGAACCCATGACAGATGCCGCACAGAATGAGGCACTGTGATTCCCATTCCCACACCAGGGGAGACCCTGGTCGCCATCTCGTCACCCAGCCTTGGCCGGCTACACGGAGCGGGGTCTCTCCTCGTTCCCGTCCAAGCCGGACCCGAGGAGCACGCTCCATCCCCAGTTGTCCGGCCGCTGCAGGTGGCCGGCGCGATGCAGGGCTGCCAGGGAAACAGTGATGAGCCTCGGGCCCGCGGCCTGGGAACTGGACTCCATCCGCCTCGCACAACCCTCACGGGGCACCAGGAAGATGCCTGGTCAACCTGCTGGTACCGACTCTAAAGTCGTTTGGAAGTCCCTGGTTATGGTTGCACAGTGTCTTCCCACAACCCCCCAGGCCCACCCGGCCTATTTCCCCCAACACCCCCAGCTGCCCTGCCCCCCCAGCCTCTTCAGATGCACCCTGGAGCTTCTTACAGTCACCATGGGCGCCCTCTGTCACTCTGGCCCCCCCTGGGGACCGGGGCGTGCCATCTCCCATGGTCACCCCTGCTTCCTGACCATCGCCTGTCCCGCCCAATTCCCCCGCACCCGGAGGACCACCAGCTTGTGGCCACGCGCACGTCCCAGCTCAGCGCCTCTGCCTGGGTGGACGACGGTCCCGGAACCCCGTGCAGCAGCTCCCTCGCACGCAGACCCAGCGCCAGCAACACCTCGGCCTCCGCTTCCTCCACCCTCAGGGTATGCCTGTCCTCCTCACCCCGCAGCAGGCGTGCCCTGTGCCCCATCGGCCGCGGCCCGTGCCTCCTCCCCCCCCCCCCCCACTTTCCCACCCACTCCTCGGGGGCAGACTTGACAGGCTTTCCTGCACCTCAGCAGCTTCTCCAAATTCGTTTGTCCTGCCTTTCCCCCGATAAAGCTCCGCAGAACTCATGCATGCGGGGCTTTTAAAGACACTGCTTAGCTAACATCGTTTTCATGAAGTGTGTGTTTCTATGATACTATTATTTACATTAACTAAATTTTTTTTTCTTAAAATCATAATTAACATAATTGTGATTTACTTTGGAGAAAATGTATATAAAAATAAAAGCAACATAAAAGTAAAATACACTTTTAAAAATAAATTTTTAGAAAAATAAAAACATAAAGACAATACAGACAGGCACTGACAAGTAACAAGAGAGCGGCCACGAAGCCGGCGTAGTATAAACAGTAGACGTGTGCACTGCTGGCGACGTGTGAACAGTGTGGCCGCAGTGGATGGGGCACGCTGTGGAGGCTCCTCGGAAGTTAGGAGGAGCGCCGGCAGGGTGCGTGGCGATGCCTCACAGGGCCCGCGCACGACAAGGGGGACACAGGCTGACGCAGAGGCTGCTGGGCCTGGCTCGTGGCAGCAGCGTCCCCGAGTGGCCACAGCGAGCAGCACGCGGAGGCCGGTGCGGCAGGTCCGTGTGAGGGAGTGCGGGCTGGCCGTGGAGAGGAAGCCCTGCTCCTGCCCCGACACGACGAGCCCTGCGGATGCCGTGCCGTCGCGGACGAACAGCGCCCGTGCAGTCACGTGCAGTCCCGGGACAGAGCAGGGGAGCCTCTGGGGGGTCAGGACTGTGGGCGGGGGGGCGGGAGAGTGTTGGGGGACAGTGTCGGTGCTGGAGGATGAGGATGCCCTGGGCTGACAGTGGCAACTGTACGAGGCGCGGACAGAGTCACGGGCACCGAACCGCACACTTGAAAATGACTGAGATGGTGGTCACGTGACATGTATTTTACCACAATTAAGAGATCCATTTCAAAGTAAAAATTAAATGATGTGACTGAAGTTAAGGATACTAAGTAAGAGTCTATGGGCTTGTTGGCCCTAAAACTTGTTTTATTTACCTATTTTTAACTTGTTTTAAATAAATTTAACAAAATTACCATGAAATAAATGGGTAAAAACATTTGGATAACTGTAAATCTTAAGAGAAATGAAAATGAGTGAGAATTTCTAAGTTTTGTTTCTGAAACACTTTGCGAGAAAACACGTACAATTCAGGTCAATGTGTGAAGACGCCAATGAGAAACCCAGGAACCCGAGCCTCAGCGGGGAGAGTCTGCTGGCTGCCTCCCGGGACTCGGGGCAGCAGAAGCCCCACCCCCCGGTTTCCCAGGTGGAATGGGTGGCACCAGGTCTCCCCTCAGAAGCCCTAACACAGCAGCTCCCAGGTTGGACACGGGACCTGGAATGGCTGTGGAAGCCTCTGGGCTCTTTGGGGACCCTGGAAAGACTTGGTTTGGGACCTTCAGAGGCAGAGATGTGCAGAGCAGGTTCCTGAGGCAGCTGGGCGTCTGAGGCGCCACCAGCCCTGCCTCGCTGGTCTGGCCGGCACTGCACCAGGGTTTGCCTGCAGGCAGAGGCCGGCTCACCGAGCGAAGCCCCACGTCAGCCGGGCCCATCCCCACCCCAGGGAGAGGCCTCACTGCCACATCCAGGCTGTGCGGTGAGCACCAGTCACTTCTATTGACGAGCACCCTCAGTTCACCGCCTCCCACGCAGAAGGGCTGTGGCAGGGGCCTCGCAGGCCCCAGGCGGGCCCCCGAGTGCTGTCCGAGGCCTGGCCTCCTTGCGTCAGTGGGCCTGGCTGCAGCTGGGCCGGCAGTCACTCGGCTGCGAACAGCTGGAGCTTGCCATCCAGGGTGGCCGTGGCGAGCTGTGGCAGAGACAAATGCGGGGTGAGCCCTTGGCCGCCCTCCGCCTCTGGGGGACTGGTCGGCAGAGCAGCTATCTGTCAGACCCCTGTCAGCTGCTCCTGGGCACCGAGCCGAGCGCCGAGGCACAGCCTCACCTGCCCCAAACTGCACCCCGCCCCTGGGAGCTCCAGCACCAGTCCCGGCAGAGGGCTCCTGGCCAGCTCCAGGGCCCCTGGGGCCCGAGGCCCGCCCCCGGCAGGCCCATCTCTCACCAGCTGCAGGCGGCCTTCCACCCTCCCAGCCCCTCCTGGGCCTGCAGGGCAGGGCAGGCTTCCAGTCCCCTGCCAGCGCTCCAGCTCCAGGAGGAGAGGACCAAGCTCGGGACCAGCGAACTCTGCCAGGGCCCTAGTGCGCATGGAGCTGCAATACCGGGGTTAGGGCCCGATGGAGGATGGGGCGGAGACGCTGCCTGGCCTCCCCGGCCTGCATTTCCTTGGAGCTGTGGGCATCCAACTCCAGGGAGCCTCTGACCTCAGCCAAGACACAGTGCTCAGCGCTGACAGAATCCAGCGCACAAGAAGCAACATGCTCGAGGTGTGACTGTGCCCGGGGCCGAGGGGCCCAGAGCCAGGGTTGTTCCCGGGAGGTGGCCCACGCAGGACGCTAGCCATGCCAGGCGTGGCGGTTACAGAGCTCTGTCCTTGACAAGGCTGAACAGATGGGTCCCAGCCCGCCACCAAGTCTAACAGGGGTTCTGGCTGCCTAGCTCCTATGCTAGCAGTGATACAGCGGCATCAGAGCCGATACAGACACAAAGACAGATGAACCCAGAGACGAGACACAGGCAGACACACGTGGATGCAGAAAGGCAGATGCAGACATGGACCTAGGCATCCCACACTAGAAGCAGCTGCAGAGAATCATCTAGAACTTTTATCGCTCGGTCGTGTTTAAACCCCTCCGCGTTTCCGAAGGGGCGCCATGCACGCAGGTGCCGAGGCCCAGCTCGGCTCCACCCTGGGCTTGGTGTGCGACGCTGGGAGTCAGGGGACGCCTGGCCCCCCCACCTCCGTGTGGGTGAGTCCTGCCAACAAAGGGGCGGCAGTACCCACGGGGGGGGGGCTGGCACATGCCCTGGCGGAGCCAGGCGGCCAGGAAGCGCTCCGCCAGCCGGGAGCCGTGATGGAACCAAGTGCGACAAGCGTGTGCAGATGAACTGGACGTGTGCGGTTTCAGAGAAAGTCACAGCCCCACCGCCTGAGGGCAGCGTGACAGCCACTGCACGCTGCAGAATGGACACTGTTGGGGGAGGAGGGCTGAGTTCTGCTCTCAAAGAAAAGGCTGAAAGAAACAAAGCCAGGTTTCACGCTGGAGCCAGGCAGCGCCCGTCGGCGGCGCGTCCCCGGGTGATGTGATGCCTGCTGGCCTATCACGTTCACACTGAGGAGCCTTTGCTTGGATTCCCCCCGAGGTGGTACCGATGCCTGGCGGTGGGGAGCCAGGTCCTCCCGAGCCGCGTCTCCTGGCCTGCGAAACCCGCCACAGACCTGCTGCCTGCAGCGCCAGGAACCAGTCAGCGCCCTCCTCAGAGCGGGTCTTAACACAAGACAAGCAGTCGGGTGCCGGGGACTGTTTCCAAACTTGGGTACCGTGAAGAAATGGGAAAATCAACTAAGTCGAGGGTAAACGCATTGGCCCCCGTGCACACGATCCCCGTGAGAGTCTGCCCAGGACCCCGACAGCCAACATCAGTGCTTCAGCAACCACGGAGCACACGCCGCTCGTCCCCAGGTGCCTGAGACCACGGACAAAGCCGAGGTGGGGGATGGGCGACCGCAGTGGCATGGGCAGCGGGCCACAGGAAGTCGGGGCAGAGGTTTGAGAGAGGCTTTTCAGAAAAACAGGCGTGTGAAACAAGGCCTTTGGGGCCAGGGGACCAGTGAGGCTGGCACGGGGGAAGGGGACGCTCGGGGACGCTCTGCAGGGAGAGCAGAGGCGGCGCCGCAAGACCCACAGGACCCACGCTCCGGGGAGGGCTGAGCAGACTGGCACTTTGTCGCACGGTCACCAGCACGTACGAGGGGCTGAAGAGCAAACATGGGCCTGGGGGCCCAGCAACGTGGCTCGGTGCCCGGGACGCCCGTACCCTTTCTCTTTAGAAACCACGTGGTGCTAATTCTCCAGTCCACAGTCAGGAAAAACAAAAGCAGCAAAAAATAAATAAATAAAATAGAAGAAAACCACCTGTAGAGCACTCGGGCCGCACTGTTTCCACACTGGCCACGGATCCCTCCGTTTCAGTTCAGACTCTGGTCCAGGTGGGCAAAGAGCTCAGGCGCCTGACATATGGCCGTATGGGCGGCTGCTCCCCAGGAGGGCGTGTGACTGACAGATCAGCTGTGGGGACAGAGGTGACCACTTTCCTAAAATAAAGCAAGGCTGCCCATCACAGTGACTGTTCCATTCCCCCTGAAGCAGGGATGCTCGAGGCCACGGCGGCCAAAGGTGAGCTCCTGGCAGTCACACGCGGAGACTGATGGCCCACTGGTGGCTGCAAGGCTTGTCAGTGCAGATGGTCACGCAGGCGGGAAAACACGGGAGAGGAGCCGGGAGCTGAGGCCGGGCCACTGGGCTGCCGGTTCCCGTTCTTACAGAGGGCAGGGCACACGACGACACCCAGTCCGCGGCTTGTGAGGAGAGCCGTGGGCCCGAGGGCCCTGCAGAGAAGCGGGGACTCCTGCGCTTGATGCCGGTGCCTGAGAAGACACGGGCATCTCAGCCCAAGGTCCGGAGATGACCCCGAAGTCCCACAGGAGAGTCTGCGTCTTAAATCAAGCCAGGCGAATACAAGGGGGTGCAAGTCCAGTAACGAAGGACGAGAAACGTGGGCTCAGCTGGCGCTGCCCCCAGAGCCCCTGGCGGGATGAGGCTCAGGTCACAGGGCCATCGCACACCGCCTGCAAAGAGGTGCTGCAACGGTTAAAAATGGAACACAGAATGAGGCATTGCACTGAGGAGCCAGAAGAATGAGAAGAAAGTGAAACTAGAGGAGGAGTCATCACACAGACGAATTCAGTCGTTAGGTCAAGAGCTGCTGAGCAGCAGCTGAAGAGCCTGGGTGCCCTGGGGGCAGGTGTGAACGTCACCAGGGCCCCGCAAGCTGAAAGGGTAGAAACGTGAGGGGGAGGTTGGATGACCGAGTCCAGCATTGACGTGGTGGTTCCAGGAGAAGAGAACCACCACTTGTGGACTGCGTGGCTTCCATTTCTACGGGTAGTGAGGCTCCAGAGAACATCGGCCTCCTGTTTACCCTGGGCCAGAAACCCCAGAGTGCGCCTGCAGCCCCCAACCCCCTCGCCTGCAAGCTGACGGCTCAGCGGCCAGGAGGCCAAACGTTCCCAGAGACTTGCCCAGGGCTTCTCCCACGGGGTGGGCCTTCCGAGCGGCAGGTCTCAGCAGTTCCACAGCCGTTTTCTCCCCGTTGATGACTGTCCAGAACCCGTCACGCACCCCGTGGCCCCAGCGTGGGGGCGGCAGGAGGCTGCGCAGCACGGGGCCCCGGTACCGCCCCGCTGCATTGGCTCCGCGCCGTCCCCGGCCTCACCTGCCTTGACGTGCACACCCGTAAAGCGGGGAGAGACGCGGCACTGCATCCGAGCACAGGTCTGAGGGCAAAGGCTGCTGACCGGCCACCCCGGAGAGCAGGGTCCGGCGCACCCCGACAGCCACCTCTCTCAAGAAATAACTGTCACCCTCCGTCAGAGAGAGCCAGACGGGCACCTCTGGTCCCGTGAGGTGAACAAGGAAAGCCGCCGCCGGGCTGGGCAGGCGCGCACAGCACAGGACGGGAGCGTTCCAGCACGGGCCAGGCGGCCGAGGGCGGGCACTGTCCAGCTCCCCGGGGCCTGGGCACCACGTGCCTCCAGATCTGACCTCACGCCCCCCACCTGCCATGGTGGCCATGGCCCTGGGGACAGGTTCCCGCATGGGGCGCCTGGCGGAGGGCAGAGCCCCGTGAGCGTGAAGCCCTAGGGGTCGGGAGGTCGCCAGCAAAGCGGCGCCACAGCTGGCGCTGGAACGAGGCCCCCACCCCGGCCCAGAGGCGGCCCGAGGCGCGGCGCCTGTGGTCGGTCCGGTCTGGAAGCCAAGGGGACACCGCTGAATAGGAGGCATCTCAAGGCCCATGTTACTGCTGCGTTTCCCTTCATCGACTCCTCCACAGCTTCCCATAGGCCATGTGGCTTCAGAGGCAGCAGCAACTCAGAGGGGCCTGGGGAGGCTGCAACTTTTGTGCACGGCAGGCCTGAGCCACGCACACCCATCACGCCCACAGAGAAGCCCTGCTTGGAGCACGCGCAGGGGAAACATGGCTCGGGGGTGACACGACCTGGAACGCCCGAGGGCCAGCCCTCCTGCCCGCCCCCCCCAAGCATGCGTGGTGGGGCTGCAAAATCCACAAGGGCTCACTGCAGTGGCACAGAACATACATGTCAACCGGGGGCTGACAGATACCTCATCTCCCAGAGCGCGACATCCGAACCTGTGAGCAGACAGCAGAGGCAGCGGCACACGCCTGCAGCTCCACGGACCCACGCCAGCTGACCCGAAGCTGCTGCAGGCGGTGCCTGGCTAGACGCTGACTGTCTACCTCCCAGGACCCTTGGGGCCCAGGTCTGTCGCTTGCCAGCTCTTTCCTGTGACGTTACTGCTGACCTTTAGCGATTTGACTGAGCCACAGAAGAAGCAGCCGACTGAGGAGCGAGCCCGTACTGGCCCCCGGCTACGCCTTGTGCCAGTGACCCCGCAGCGCTGCTGACCACACAGGCAGCGGCCCCTGTGCTGCAGGCCGGACACTGGCTCACGGGAGCGGCTGCAGCCTGAGGCCCGCAGGGCGAGAGCTGTCCCCTGCAGCCCCGACGCCCATGGGCAGGCAGAGGCTCCGGGCCGCGCCCCCCTCCGGTGTGGGTGTCCGAGCTGGACCCAGGGCTGGGCTGCGTGGAGCCCCTGCTGCAGCCCAGAC